AATCTGATATTGCTGAGCCAATTATCAATCTTGCGGTGAAGCCCGCATACCGGAGCCGGAGGTTCGTATTACGCGATAAAAATGACTTATTCAACTGGTTGTCCTAAAACTACAACAAAAAAAGGTCAAGCAATATTTATACCCGGTTATTAAGCAGAATCTGGGCAATAAATTAAAAAAGTATGAACGAAATAAAAAATGGCTTTTTTGAGAAAATTGACTTCAAAATTTGCATATTTTTCATTTCTGTCTATATTTGTGGCAGAATAAAAACAACACGGTAAACACAATAACCAAAAAATACATGTCAATCGATGGCTTATATTGATAGCTACGCAAAAAAATCTGTCTCACGTCATTGCACCCTACCGTTCGTTTTATATAGCTGTCCGAAGTTGCGTCACACTTGCTCTAGGTTGCATGTTTGAGATTTTTTAGAAAATTATTTTAAAATAACAGAAGACAGAAATTTACCTCTAAAAATAGCCACGTCTGCGTAAATATTGCGTAATAAATATAATAATTCTGCAAGAATTCGATATTTTGTAAATGGCGGCTAAAGTCGGGATAAAATCAAATTGGGAATTTGACGTGTTCTACCAGGCAGCGCCTCAGAATTTTTTTCTCTCAAACTATACAATTCTAATTTTTTTTTCAAAGGCAGTTTCTTTCATCACAAGGATTCGGGTATCATATATATTTTTTACGATTAAATCTAAAGACCCCCCCCCCCCCCCCGACAAGTTTGGTTGAATTCAAATGAAATCACTCATATATATATGGATTTCGCTTTGTAAATTTGGTGTCTTCATTCGCCATATTTCAGTCAGTAAGAACTCGTTCACGTTCCAGTAAAAAAGCGTTTCAACAACTAAGGTTTACGGTTCCAGCCTAAAATATTCAAATCAGGAAGAACTGGGACGTTGAGCCACGTTACGTCGAGATACGACTTCAAGTTACATGGCCTCGCGAAGTATAAGTACGAGTGTATCGGTCTTGAAGACCGTATCTTGGCTGAAACCCGTTACCCCATGGGGACCTGACCGCTACTACCATTGGAGCCAGTCAAACCAGCGCCTAACCGGTAACGTTTGTAAATTTATGAAAATATATAATCATCCCCTCCTCGCAATAATTCATGGTAGGCGCGGCGAGGTAACCTGGGTAAATAAAGAAAAACTTTGCTTAAAAAAAATTCTAAAAGAGCAATTTCCAGTAAAGACTGATTCAGAGTAAGCATGGGAATGCATAGAGATGAATGGTGTTGAATACAGGAAACGGGCCACATTTTATCATATTTAGAAAAATAGCATAAACCTTTTGGACAAGATAACGACAAGCACTGAAACTTTGGCATCTGGTCCAAAACACCAGCGCTTCATTTCGGTGGAAACAAAAAGTTTTACAATGTAATTTTTTTTTCGTTGAAGAAAAAGCACTCTTTTTCTGATACATGCGGAACATATTTATTTGCACGTCATTTATGTCAAACCTCTAGTTTTAAATGGGGCCACACACGTAAAACACTAGGTCGTCCACATATAAGCACGACCATTTTTTTTTTAATCATTTAGCGAACTTATGAGTCTGAAAACAGACAAGCTGTCCATTGTGGGACAACTTCTCGCAGATAAAATTCAAAACCACTCATGCATTTTGAGATTAAATCCACGGTGGCATTAGCTTGTGAATTATGCTTTATTACTAATTTCATGAATGCCACATTTTGAGAAAGTCCTTACTGTAGCGACTCAAATGTCAAAACTGCAGTGCATTTCTGACGTTCCAATACATGTTCTTATACTGTATGACTCCCTTGTGCTGGTACTAAATAGTGGAGATGCACTCTATGCGGCCTGCCTCGCGTTGTGTTCCATGGGGACGGCCTAGAACTTTCCAGACACCTGTTCGCCCATGCAGAGTCAACGATACTCTTCAGAGCGATTAACATCACTGAAAGCCTAGCAGCTCCGATGGCAGCGTTCCGGATGTTCAATATCAAGTGTGCTAAAGAGTGCTCCAATACGGCACGTGGCTCTGAAAGGTTGTTTTTCAAGCTTAAATGAAGCTGTTCATGAACTAGCATAGTGATTGTGTATCACCAACGTTGTTGCCAGTTTAGCGGTTTTCCTTCTATTTTTAGCATTGTTAAAATTTGCCTAATGTATTCTTGTTTATAATTTTTTTTTTTGTATGCGGCGGGTTTTGGGGGATTTTTATATTGTTTTGCATGTTTCTGCTGGCCTATAATGTTTTATATTTTCTAATTTCCCCATCATGGGCGGCTTAAGTTTTGTGTAAGGTACAGCCATAAGGTAGACTCACCTTTCCTTACTCGTAGCAAAATTAAAAGAGGGCTCCTGTTACCGCTGGTTCTAGAGGTGTTTCCATACCTGCCGACGTAATTCCCATGTTTTACAGAAAGTTCTTTTTTGGAATAGTGGCATCGGGGTCGTTTGATGGCGCATGTGACTTTCAGTCACCAAGTCACAATGTTCTGGGTTTTATAGCCTTTCTTTTCTTAGGTGGCTATAGTACTTGAAAGTTAGAGGCATGACTAAATTACAAGTGATGTAATACCCAGATACCGCTACTGCAGAACCGAACTATGTAGAAAACGTGCGAATAACGTCGGGATCGTATGGCACCACACCTAAAATCGGCAGTAACAGATCACTCGGATGTGTATTGCTCACACCAAATCGTGATGAAGCAGGGGACATATTTCTGTGAACAGATATGGTCTAACGAAAAGACGGGGAGTCTGCAGGCCAGCTGGTGATAGTCAATCATTTCGTGTACCAACCGAGACTGTAGTGAAGAAAAAAGCAGAAAGTGACACAAAGCGGAACGTCTTAGTAGAAGAAAAAGAAGCGGGAGTGGTTATTGGTGACATGGGTGACCAACAGCGTCGTTTTGGTCGGCATTCAAGGGTTGGCCAAACGCTCACTATGATCTTTATTTTGAAAAATTAGGCTTTCATCGACGGAAATAATGTCAGTGCAAACTGTCAATTCTTTCATGATGTTATTTTAAAACTGCGATGACTCCAAGCTCCCATCGTACTTTTTACACACACCATCGAACTTAGTTCACGAGTTATAATAAGTAGCCAAAATTGCAACTCGTGATGTCTCCGCGAGGTAAATCCCGGTCGTGACAGCACGAACGGAAACTGCAAGAGGGCGCCACAGAAATATTTCGGCGCTAATAATTTGTCAAAAAAGAAACTGCTTACGTTTTATTATTTTATTTATTTATTGTGTATATGAAGTAATCGATCACTCAAATGCATTACAGTGCCATTCGTGCCTCTTCTAAATTAGTATTTTTTTCTTGTGGACATTCCAAAACAAATCATAAAAGATGTATTCTTACCAAAAAAAAATAATGCTTGGCTCTGATGTTTGGGTATCAAAATGACAGTATGTTTGTTTAGTGTGAGTCCCTCCTTAACTTCTATGTGCAGTGCAACACATGTACTGTTAAGAATTTACTGGATCAAAATTAACCTTGGGTTCTGCCCAAGTATCTGGGCCTCCTTGCTATTGATAAAGCAAACCGATGGACGAAACTCTTTTATATTTTGTTTCAAAGGAAAGTATATGTGTGATGCTTTGAATATTGTTACTTTTTTTATAGGGCTACAGATTTCTCTTTTTTATCAGCATTTGTTTTTTTAGGAAGCAAGCACAAACAACCTTTCAAAGAGATTCAGCAGCACACGAAACTCTGCATGTTTTGTCTATCGTTAAAGCGCTCTTTAAAGGGGTCATGAAACGCTTTTCCAACTTTTTTCTGTTTAGCTTTCCTCCTCAACTCATAAATCGCGCATTCCACCAAACAGTTAAAGAAGACGAAAAGGGGGAGTCCCCTCTTGCTCGCACTCTCGTTTGTGTAATCCGGACACATCCATTCTCCCCCTAGAAGATTAGCCCGTCGCTCAAAATTCAGACAAAAGTTGCTTTCCCCACCCCGTTCATTCCGAAGCTGACAGTGCTGTTGAAGCTACGTGCTCGTTGGGCCAGCCACACTTCCCATGTGAGCGTGGCAAATGTGGCTGCAGAGAATGAAGTCAGGTGATGAAGGGGAGGCGGCTGATTGGTCCGGCAAGCGCGTAGCTTCCACCACAATGTCAGCTTAGGGGTGATGAGAATAAGTGAGGTCCGGTTGCGTGTGACGTCAGTTTGGACCCGATGACGCGCTTTTGGGACCGCGGATGTATCACAGTGAAAAGGCAGAGAGGTTGCGAAGGGGAGGAGGTACGAAATAGTCCGCTCTGTTTTCAAATTTTCGCACTGAAAGTCAGGCTTTTGACTTTCTACCTTTTTGCTTTTGGTCCACTGAACGATGTGCTATTAGTAAAATCCCAATCTAAAATGATTTATCCCAACCCAAAAATCGTTTCATGGGCCCTTTAACAATTCAAAACATTTTAAGTGTCATGTATAGCTCAAGTTCTCTCCAAGGCTGTGTGTATTTGATTTCTAAAAAAAATGGTACAACAGAGAAATGTGGGGCACTATAAACAGGGTGACAAGATTGCATCATTATGTGTAACGGTTCAATTACACCAATTATTTGAGGTGTAGTGATTTAAAAACACCTATAGCAAAGGTGTAATGCAGAAACTTCAAATTTGCTCGCAAAAATGTGTAATACTGCAGCAACACCTACCAAAGGTGTAACAACTATCGAAAGGTTTAATTTATAGACATTTAATAAAATGCCAATTACATCTTATATGTGTTTTGAAGTTTACTGTGTTCTACCCTGGGGTAACCATCTATTAGGATTCTACTTCTGAGCTTTAGCTCCCTCTGGTTCACTCTAACATCTTGAAGAAGCGGGGTGCACTTGGCACCGCTCGCAAGGATCATCGAGCGGCGCAAGACAAAACAGCTCTGGCATTCGTGCAACCATAGGCTATGGTGCAACCACCGGGCAGCGCTGGCCGGCTCCTTCTCCAACAACGTCATTTGTTAATAGCGTATAAAAAGATGTGGTTTGCCATTCAACTGGCCTTCACGGCATGGAACATTCACGAATTCATTAGAGAGAAACATCCATCAGTTCTATTCGAAAAGTTAGGGACCAGCTGCCGTACAGGTATGTAGAAATTCCTATACATATATACATATGTATATATATATATAAACGAATATGTGCAGATGAATGAACCATACTTAATCCAATGAATCAAAGGATTAAAGTTTTCAGGAACCCGCCGAAAGCCAGAAAACGGCGGAGCCAGGATTTGAACTCTGGGCTTCCCAATGTCCGGTCGGGTGTGCTAGCCTCTACACCACTCCACCTTGGCTTTCTGGCGTTTCCTACCTGTCTTATTAATGCACAAGAAACGAAATGTGTCCAATCGGAAGTGTTCTGGAAACACAAACGAGCACGTACCACGTGACACTAAGCGTCGTACCGCGTTCCACGCGGCGGCGTGTGTTTCCAGAACACCTCCGATCGGACACATTTCGTTTCTTGTGCATTAATAAGACAAGTAGGAAACGCCAGAAAGCCAAGGTGGAGTGGTGTAGAGGTTAGCACACCCGACCGGACATTGGGAGGCCCAGAGTTCGAATCCTGGCTCCTCCGTTTTTTGGCTTTCGGCGGGTTCCTGAAAACTTTAATTCTTTGATTCATTGGATTAAGTATGGTTCATTCATCTGCCCATATTCGTTTATATCCTCCTCGGAGACCACGTACGATGACGTGAAGTGCCCGTGTTGTATATGTATATATATATTGTAATGGACAAGGGAAAGGTAGAAAAAGAGGAGAGGAAGAAGAGGTCGAGTGGAGAACGGGGGACCGAATTCTGGGTTGCCCGTTTAGCCCATGAGCTGAGACTCCCGCAACATTATATATATATGTATATATTGTTAAGAAGGTGAAGACGACGACGGGGCAGTGGCGCGCACGACCATCTCGCGCCAAGCCCCACTAGCCGGCTCGGCCTCCATAAATCCTTTGTCTCTTCTATCATCGTGTACTGTCCTGTCCTTTCTGCTGCCGACAGCATCACCCTAACAGTATGGTGGAGGTGCGGAGCCATCCTCATCTCCTTCATTGAACATCGGCGTCGCTGTGATCCTATGAACCCGCCTCGTTGAGGCAGTCATCCGCAGCAGCAGACCAAGCACCAGCCCATGGCTCCGTCGCCCAGCCCCCGCCCAGACGCCATCACAAGCCGAATCGGACGAAGCCGCATCAGACGAAGCCGACAGACGATCCCCCGCCCCTATCCCCAGCCCCCGACGCTCCGACGCTTCTGAGTGACGTGAGTCCCCCAGCCCGGACCGTGCCGTCGTGTGGCTGGTGCAGAGGTCTGTGACGCTGCGGAAGAGGCCGAAATTCAACGTTTCCATCTTCATCCTCACCCTCGCTGTCGGCAGCTGTCCTTTGTTCTTCTGTGTGTGTGGCTTTGTCAGTGTGCTTCATGTGTTCATTTATTCACCGGCCGGGTCGGCCGTTTTCGTCGGAGGGAGTGCTGTTAGGAAGGTGAAGACGACGACGGGGCAGTGGCGCGCACGACCATCTCGCGCCAGGCCCCACTAGCCGGCTCGGCCTCCATAAATCCTTTGTCTCTTCTATCATCGTGTACTGTCCTGTCCTTTCTGCTGCCGACAGCATCACCCTAACAATATATATATATATGTGTGTGTGTGTGTGTGTGTGTGGGTGGGTGTGTGTGTGTGTGTGTGTGTGTGTGTGTGTGTGTGTGTGTGTGTGTGCGTGTGTGTGTGTGTGTGTTGTATTCACAAGCCACCATACCCGGGCGCAGCATTCACAGCGCATACTCAGAACGACACCCCACCTATCTTCCAAGAAGACTTACAACCTCGGTTGTGCGAAGTGCACGTTGCGGAAGCGTTGTGGAAGGTCACCGTGAGCTCCCGCTCTGCAGCAGCGGATTCAACTATGGCCACCAGTGAATACTACATACAATATGTTGCCAGTATCGAAAAAGACAAGAGACAGTAGAGCTCAACAATCGCGTCGAGAATTTTTTTACGAAACTACCGGGATAAACCAAAAACATTAAACACCGTTTTTCAGCCCGCAATAATAGGCTCCGCATTGTATAGAGCTGGAACGCTGTGAGAGTCTGACGCTAGCGGTTGTGATAAAACACAGGTTTGAGCACATGAATTCTCATGAATTTTGAGCTTTCTGCGATACGTAGTTTAGGGTTGCGGGCCGAAAAAAAAACGGGATTTATTTTCTCGATCTAACCTGGCACACCAAGAAGTGTCACTTTTGAAAATTCGAAAATACCGTGCACATGAGCAGAGGACGACGAGAGAAGTCACGCATTTCCGAAGAGATCTTGAGACGGTACAAGAACACACTGGATCGAAGCTCACATTTTATAAGTTTGGAGCAACCTTTTAAGTTTTACCTCCCTGCTGTGAAGGGATTTTTTATAAGTTAAAGCTGGACGAGAGGTTTAAAAAATGAATGTAACGCACTCGATCATAGTTCAAGTTTGTAAACCAATTTTTAGACCTATTTGGGAAAGTATAGGCACACGCGCTACACCTTCTCGCCTTATCCGTAGAAAAGATTCTAAGTAAACGACTACAATAGAGCGTTGACTATTGCACGTGCAGCAAAGTGCAACTTGTTTTAAGTTTTTAGATTGCAAATAAGACAAATGGCGCTAGGTTTAAATTGAAACTAACACCCACAGCGGGCTTGGGTAAGTTTGCAAATGGTCAATCATCGCTGCGTGCAACGACGCAAAACACGACGTGGAACTGATGTCCGTCGAGCAGGAAACGCTTACCTCAATATGCAACACGTAACCACCCTTTTGCAGTACAACGGAGGTTTTCGGAGCTGGACACGAAACTTAACAAGCTTTATAGCAGGCTGGTAGGCCCCGTCCCTTCATTTTTCTTTTCCCCTAGCCTTTCGCAGCTGTGCGGAGCGCCAGTCCTGCTTCTGTTGCATAGATTGTGGTGACGTCAGAACGCCGAGCTTTGATTGGTTCTGAAACATAGTGTGTAGACCCCAAGGCGGCTTGCTTTGAGATCTACCCACTATCCTTTCATCACAGCCAATCAGAGCTCGGCACTCTGGCGTCACCACAACCCCTGCAAATGAAGCAGACGAATTTGCGCTCCGCGTAGTCAATGGCAGGTTGAGAGTGAACTGGACACACCTTCCACCTTTTTTCAATTAACCCGATCGAGCGGTAGAGAAGAGGTCGCCTCTTCTCCAGCGTTCGCTCTGCTAAAGTGGAAAGAGATGAAAGGAGCTTTCATTTTCCTTTTAATCTGCCTCTGACTCCGGAGGTTCCCGAACTTTTCGAAGAGAACTGAGGCATGTTTCCCTCTCCCTCTCTTTCTTCCTTGGACTGTAGCTTTTCCTTTTTTATTACGTCGCGCGCTCTGTCACCTCTTTTTTTTTCTTTTTGTCTGTCCACTATATCAGCTTTTTTATGTGTCATAAGCCGCACTGGGTCGAAGTCATGGCCAAAGAACATCTGTGCTGTCATTGCAGTGTTGGTAATTCGAATAAACGGGGATTTATATGAAAGAAAAGAAAACAGACGCCCTATTCACTTTGCATATTCAACAGTCAGGTGCTTTCGCTGGATATGTTTTGTTTATTCACTACGGTAAAAAGACACGTGATTATGTTAAAAGGGTCATCCGTTACGGTGTTTCGCAGGTTCGCCTTGTTCCACAGACAAGCAGTAAAGAAAAACCAGGCAGAGAGAAGAAATGCGACATTTTCTGCAGCTACCTCTCCAGACCAGTTTTACGTATAAACTGTTCCAATGCCTTAGCAGGCTTCATGCATTAGGGTGACAATTTCCATGAGCCTAGCAAGGGAAATCCAGCAGTTATTTTTTCGTTCTCGCAAGTTGCTAAATCTGTCAGTGGCGGATCCAAGGGGGGGGGGGGGGGGGGGCCGGTGGGGGCGATCGCCCCCCCCCCCCCCCCAAACGCCTCGCCAGGCAACCCCCCCCCCCCCCGGTTCTTCGTCAGCTCGAAGAAAAAACGTAAGCAATCGATGCGAGAAACAAAAGATTAAAACAGCGGTGGGTGGACGCGCCTGCTGGGCGCTTCCAAAGTGGGGTTTATCTCCGTCAAGGTCACGGTACCTCTTCCCGACAGGGACGGCGCCAGGAGTTTCGAAGTGGAGAGATAGTGGGGAGGCGCACCAAATATCAGGGTCCTCGACTGCAGGCACACTTCCAAACAAGGTCAGCACGTCGAGCACGGGGGGAAAATACCTTCAACATATCCAGTCCCCTTTCACTCTTTCTCTCTCTCTCTGTCTCCCTCTCTCTCTTTGGGGGTTGTCTGCGAAAAATTTGTGCCCTGAAAGCTCCCAAACGCAGACGTCAAGCAGCCTTCCTCAGGGGTAGCGGATTATCGTTCCTCTCTAGCGGCCGCCTTTTCATCACTTTTCGTTTGATGGTTTCTTCGTGGTTCTGGGCTTGTCTTTTGGCATGTCGTTTTTGGCTTGCTTTGAGATGCTGTCGCCCACGGGCTCACTAAAGGTATCTTATTGGCACGGTGTGCTTATTGCCAAAAGAAGTGCGGAGGGGACGTACCGGGAGGAGACGTTCGAGGGGGGGGGGGGGGGGGGGGATGCGGCTTGTACAACCAGTCAACTGAGAGAGGAAGCAAATGCTCTGGGTATACACCTTTCCAAAAAAAGACTCGACCCCAGGGGCAACAAACCGTTTTCGATCCCAGTCACTGAGTTTGAGGCTACTCTCTCACCGGCGTCCCTCCTAACCCTAACCGAGTGGACTGTGATTTCAATAGGTGCAGCCTGCGTAGGCGCAGTTTCAAACGCTGCTGGCGGCTAAATTCTCGTCATTTCCCGGTATATTTTGTGTTTCATAATACATGTATATTCCCGAGTACATTAAGAAAGCATTGTGCCACATTTAAAAAAACAAAAAAGCAAAACAAAAAACTGTAAACTATTTTTGTTGGGTACGCGCGCGACAGAACGAATGCGACTGGTAGTTATTTTTTTTTTCTTAGGATAAGTTTTGACGGCGCCGCGGGATTTGCCGCAAATGAAACGACAAAGCGCTTTGTTGACAAAAATAAATTGCAAAAGAAGAGGGC